AACGCATCTACGCGGAATGATTTCAGAATATGTGGAATTGTATATCCTATTGTTTTAACAGTAGAAACCGAAATTACATGGACAAAATTACTTCTATTATCAATCATAAAACCATGATTTATCACAAAAAACGTTAGAATCACTGAAAAAGCTCAACGATTTCGATAATATGAATTTGTCTGTCTATATTGATAATATTTCGAATCCTGTATCTTTATGTTTGTTTGTTTTTCTCATTTTATTTCTGCTGGAAAACATATGATAAGGTTTATTAACATGATTATTGCAACTCATTGTTTTATCAATAGAGAGTCTATAATATTTGATGCCATATCTCACAATACAGACAAGTTTGGTATTTTTGTAGGAAAGATCATTTTGCAGACCGGACACACGAAGATCTTTTTGATATCCTAAAGAATTCAAGGGAGGACGAAGAAAATCGTCATGTAATGTTCTCTTGTATGAAAGTCAATGATCTATTTCATACTCTTGGATATTTTTACATAAATATCTGTATGATAGTGATGATATGCATGTTTCATGTTGATTCTAGCGACAACTATATAGATCATATGAAATTTATCTTTAAATTGTCTATCATTCGAAGACAATTTGTTATTTATCAATATTTATGTATAATACCTAAAGAAAAATAAATTATCTATTTTGTTTTATCAAGATATCATAAACAATAAATGTTCAATGGAATCCATTTTTCATAATATACCAATTATTGGTTACATTCTTGATCAATTGCCTTCATGCTCACATTAGTATTATAATATTACCGGTGAATACAGTGTTTATTAACGTATTTCATTAAAACAAAAAATATTATTGAACGAATGACAATGTCTGATAATTTATATGATCTTATAATAATTGGTTGTGGTCCAGCTGGTATAGCTGCTGCATTAGAACTTCAAAAGTATCAAACTATTCCAAATTTTCTAATTGTTGAAGCTCGTAATCGTGTTGGTGGTCGAACTTATACTGATACACATACTTTCGATAGTAATAAACCAATTGATGTTGGTGCGCGTTGGATTCATCATTTTCGGCCAGAAAATCCTCTTTATATACATCATACTCCATCAGATAAAGATTGTTTTAGTTATGATTTGGTTCATAGTAATATAGTTTCTTTTTTTGATATTGATGGAGCATTATTATCTGATGTTTTAGTTAGTCAAGCAGAAAAATTTGTTGAAGAATTACGTATAAATATTCATGAATATTCATCAGATAAAGAAGATATTTCTATGTTTGATGTTATTCGTGATAAATATGAAAAAATTCAAGATAAACAAATGCGTCGTCTTATTGATATGAATTTTTCTTTTATTGAACATTATGAAGGATCGAATCTTAATGAACTTTCAGCTAAATCTTATTCAAAATCTGATAGTGATATTGAAACATGTGATCTTATTCTTCCTATTGGATTAGGTTCTTTTATTGAACAAATAGTTCAACGAAATCATTTTCCTATTCAATTAAATACAATTGTTACAAATATTGATATACCAACTGACACGAATGAACCTATTCATATAACTACACAAGATAATCGTCATTATTTGAGTAAATATATTCTAATTACAATACCACTTGGTTGTTTAAAAGCATGTTCAATAAAATTTACTCCACCATTACCTGATTGGAAACAAAATG